GATAGCTCATTGTGGTTTTGATTTGCATTTCCCTGATTATTCGTGAAGTTGAGCATCTTTTCATGTGTCTGTTGGCTGTCGCGATGTCTTCTTGGGAGAAATGTGTAGTCGGTCCTCTGCCCATATTCAGTCAGGCTTTACTGTGAAGTTATTCGGTGCTATCCTTCCTGACTCTCCACTCACAGCAGGGTCCAAACTATCACCATGTCTTCCTCACTTCGCCTCCTAAATATCTCTCACAGCTGTCTGCTTCTCTTCGTTCTGCCAGCTCCTCCCCTAATCTCAGCTCTCCCACCTGGGCCCGTCCAACAAGCTCCTGGCTCTTGTTCCCACAAATTCCCTCCTCCCATCTTGAGTCTTTCTTCCCCGCTATAGCCACCTGTACTTCTCAGATACAAATCCAATTCTATCAACGCACCCGGTGAAAACCCTTAATGGGCTTCTCACTGGTCTTAGGACCAGTGGTTTCATGATCTGGTCCCTCACCTGCTCTCGTAGTGTTTTTCTTCCCAGGCTCTGCACTTTGCTCATTCTGGATTCTTTCATCAGCATGCCTAGGGCGTGCTCTCCCCGGGCACAGGGCCTTTGCAGGGGCTGTTCCTGCTGCTGGAGTTGCCTCCCCTCACCATGTCTCGCTGCCTTGATCCACTAATGTTTTCTTGTCTTTCTGACATCAGGTTCTTGCTCCCGCAAGGCCGCTACTCTAGGTTGGGTTTCTGCGTTGCAGACTTGTGGAGAGCTTACCTGCTGCAGGAGTGTTTACCTCTGCTTATTTTATCTTATTTTTTAAAAAAGATTTTATTTACTTATTTGACAGAGAGAGAGAGACAGCGAGAGAGACAACACAAGCAGGGGGAGTGGGAGAGGGAGAAGCAGGCTTCCCACTGAGCAGGGAGCCCGATGCGGGGCTTGGTCCCAGGACCCTGGGATTGTGACCTGAGCTGAAGGCAGACGCTTAAACGACTGAGCCCGCAAGCGGGGCTCCCTCAGTTTATAATTAAAGTCTCACTCTGTAGCTATTTCACTAGTGATGTTCTCCTCCACGGGATTCCAAGCTTTTGTTTTCTGCTCATCACTGTCTCCTTGGCACCCAGTAGACACACAAAAAGTATACATAGAACGTAGGCAAGAAAGGCATGATTAGATGTAAGTTGTTCACAAAGAGTAACTTGCCCTCTTTTCTGTAGAAATTCCAGTGGTTTTGGATGAACCGCAGCAATATATTTTATCGTAGATGAGCTTGTCTACAGCGTGTTCGTAGATCAGCCAGTGCTGCCGCATGTGGCTGGGCACTGTGCAGACTCCACGTGGGGACAAGCCGCCGCGGGAGCGGGTGCGGCTGAGATCAAGCCCACTGTCTTCACCAGGGTCTGTGTCTCAGAGGAAAGGATGCTTCCGCTCCTCTCTTTACATACAAAGGCACTTTATAATGACACTTCTGTCCCCAAGTTAGGGCCTTCTGGGCAGCGCAAGACCCAAGGGCTTCCCTGCTTCTAAATGTGCACAAGGGTAGCACAGGCTCTGGGGCTAGTTCACGATTTTCCTCTCTTCTGTGGTTACCCAGATTGCTCTCGTCATGCTGGACAATTATATCACAAATGCTGATTCAGATTATGGGGTGAACGAGATGAGAGAGTAGGAAGGACTCAGCATAGCATCTTCACTTTTAAAGAACGAAAATCAAAGCATCTGTCCTTGTACTGATGGCAAGTGGGAGAAGGAAAAGCAGAGCAAACACGCGTGTGCTGGGAAGTGAGTTGCTGACATCCCCGCCGGGCACTTTCCCAACTCTTTGGACATAATCTCGACCAGTTCCACCAGGTCCCGTTGCTCATTCCTTCTGTGGTGGGGAGGGACAGTCCTCTCAACCTCACAGCTGTGGACTGTAGTTTGAAACATCATTCATTATACACCCATGCTGAGGTATTTAGGGATGCAGTGGACTGATGTTGGCAATTTTTTTTGAATGTATATATAAGAAAAGAGAGGATGGATCAAGAGGTGCGTAGCTGCGTAGTAAAGCAAATAGAGCAAACTGTTAATGATAAGATCTTGGTGATGGTGCTCACTGTATAATTATTTCAACTTTTCAATATGTTTAAAATTTTTAATAATAAGCTGGGAGAAAACTTTTATTCAACATTTATTAAAGTTATCTTGTATTTATTAAAATATTTACTTATGTTATTTCTTCAAGTAACCTAGGCATCAGGAGTACAATGGTGAAGAAGAAGAAACGGTTCCTGCTGGCAGAGTACTTCCTGAGAGACAAACACGTTAGCAGATGGTGATGGGACAACCCAGTGAGTACAGTGACAGACACACAGAATGTTCCAGAACACCAAGGAGAAGTGCCTGCCACATTTTCTGATGTTTCTGTGTGGAGCGGTGGTGGTCAGGGAGATCTTCCTGGAAGAGAGGGCAGCAGAACTCAGCTTCGCATGGCAGTGGAATGAAAATTGGTTCAGGTGTTGGGGAGGGCAGGCACTCCATGGACACTGTGTGGTATTTTTGATGGCAGGAGATGGGCTGGGACTGGTCAAGCTTGGAGAGCTTGGGTGCCATGCTGACCACTGGGCTTGATCCTGGGAGGATGTGGAATGTGTGAAGATAGGAAGGGGAATGGCGGGGTTCAGTTTGTCTTAGGTACGTCTCTGGGATGGCTGCCTAGAGAATGTACCTGATGAGCCGAAGCTGGAGATAAGGTGGGTGCTCGTGTTGGTGTTCATCAGAGGGTGACCTGAATTCCGAGGTGCTGGTGAGACAACAGATTTGAGGAACGTTTAGGATGTAAAATTGGAAAACTGGAGATGGGAAAATGAAGGACAGTTTAGCCCACCGCTTACTATAATTTCAAAGACGGTTGATGGGCTGTTTGGAACATTTTACATCCGAGGTGCCTGTGGGAAACCCAAGTGGGGCTGCCCCATTGGCAGCTGGAAAAATAAAAGTGAAGCTTACAAAAGAGGTATACACATTGATTTGGAATTAAAATAATGAAATTTGAATCTACTACTGATATTAAGTAGGGAGAGCAGAGTAATACAATGAGAGGGATGGGATTTCCAGTACCTAGCACAGTGCCTGGCACATAGGATGTGGGTGACGAATATGTGTTGAAAAAGGAGTGAAAGTAGATGTCATCCTGGAGACCCACAGTCCAGGATGGGCTGAGGGAGAGAAGCTGGTGGAGAGGTAAGGCACAGTCAGAGCTTGGAGGTGAAAGAGCACGTCTGGGAGTGGTCAGGGAGAGAAAGGCTTCCGGAAAGGGAGAGGGATTACAGATGAAGGGTGAGGACTCCCCTCTGTTCTTGGGTCCAACAGTTATGAGGTCGCTGGTGACCCAGGAGTTTCTACAGAGTGGTGAGGGCCATGGCTGGAGAGCATGAGGCTGTCGAGTCCAGGAAGTCCAAGCAACCGTGGAGAACTGTGACCCAGTGCTCTCCTTAGAGCAACTTGATCTAGATCAAGAGGCCCTTGAAGGCTTCAGCTTTACTTTTAAGCACACCCATGATTTCAAGGACGATATATAGGGATATCGTACCCATTTAGCTCTGTGATTCATGATCACATTGCATCATAATTCATGACTAGATGGAAAGATCAAACTCTCCTTCAATTATGACTTGTAGTCCTATAGGGGTGTAGCATCAGTCCGGAATTCAACATGTTTTCAAATTCATTCAGTTCTTTAGTGCCTGTTGTGTTTGGGGTCACTGGGCCGTCCTGAGGAGAAGGTCCCAGTAGAGAGGGACAGGCTGCCATTGTGGGAGGCGGATGACTGAACACGAGGGGCTGCGCAAGGGGAGCGGGCCCAGGGGAGGACGGACAGGGGGCAGCACGGGCAGACGCGTCCCCTAAACTGGCTCCAAGGTCAGCGCGGCTGCTGCGGAAGCAGGGGTGCCCGGCGCGCTGCGGGGCTGGGGACGCCCAAGTCGATGGTCCTGGTGCTCCGGGACGAGGAGGCTCTTGGGCTGAGGTGAGCGGAGGAGGGCAGGCGTTGCCGGGGCGCGTCCACGCGGAGGGCTGGGTCTGGAGCGGGCACGAGGGGGCCGGAGAGGGAGGACGGGGCTGCACGCCTGTCCCCGTCTCGGTGCACGAGTGCCTGTGGCGCGCGGGTCCGACCCCGCGGGGAGGGCCCAGGCCACGTGCGCGCGTCGCGGGCAGTGGGTGCCCCGGCGGCCCGAGCGGCTGTGCGCGGGGGGACCCGCGGGCCGGCTGAGGGTTTGACAGACGCGCGGTTCTCCTCCTCCCCCGCGACGGACAGTGGCTCCCACTGGAAAGCAGACTTCTCAGGAGAGAGGGACCGTTTTCTCAGAAAAGGGCCGTGAGGTCGGGAGCCCCCATCCAGGCCGTGCCCCAAGAGGTGTCAATTCCAAGGGCGCACTTGTCCAACCTCCCGGAGCCCAAGTTGCGTTCTCCAATGGCAGCGCGGGATTCTCCTCGCAGCCGCCTTCCTATTGGCTCTGAGATGTGGGCGGGGCCACCCTTTCCTGCCACGGCCACTAGCTCCACCCCATGCCATGCAAATGAAGTCAAAGCGCTGGTGGGCCCACGTGATTTGTCACGTGGTGAACGACACCCTTGCCCCGCCCCTTCCAATGACGTCACCACCTACCCAAACTCTCTCGAGAGTTTGCAGGGATGCAAGGGAGAGGCTGGCAGCACAGCCCACTGTGGCAGGAAGGGGGTTGGGGGGGGTCTACAACAGGGGACCCCCCACTCCCACTCCAGAGTCTCCAGTCCAGCTTCAGACAGGGGCCCCAAGGGTCCTGTGGGGCAGTGCCCGGGGGGGGGGGGGCCCATGCACCCTCTCCCCTCATTGGCTGGCTGTACTGGCATGCAAATGAGGGCGCGCGTCACTTCCGGAGGCAAATCGAGCGCCATTTTCTCTTTCTGGCCGTGCTGGGAGGAGGGGACGGGGTCGCGCGGGGGTGGGCGCGCGCCGAGGCGGGGGTCCCGCCGAGCGGGGCGGAGGCGGGCGCAGGCGCGGGGCCCCGGCGGGCCGCAGCGGCGTGGCGAGAGGCGGCGGGGGACGCGGCGGCGGCGCTCCGGGCGCCCAGCGGTAGGTACGACCCCGGCCCAGTGCCGCGGCGACGCCCCCGGCCCTGCCCGGCCCAGGCCCGAGGAGTCCCGACGGCGGCCCCGCCCCGCCCCGCCCCTCCCACAGCCCGCGGCCCGCGGCCGCCTCACGAAGCCCGCGAAGCTCTCCGGGCGCTGGGTTGGCGGCCCGGCCGGCGCCCGTCACCGTCCGCATCACGTGGGCGTCGGGGGTGGTCGCCGGGGCGGGGGGCGGGTCGCACGGAGAGGGGTGGCGGGGCGCGGAGCGGGCGGTGGCCAGGGAGGCCCCCGGGCGCGTCTCCCCGCAGCCGGGCCCCCGGAGCCTGTGCGGGGAGCAGCCGGGAGTGGCCGCCGACGCCGGGCGCTGGGCTCGGGCCGGGGCTGCGGTGGGGCTCGGGCGGGGGCTCGGGCCGGGGCAGGGCGGCGCGCGCGGGCCCCGGGGGTGTGCACACGCCGACGCCGGCTAACTTCTCGCCGGGCGCCGCCGGCCGCCTCTGACGCGGCTGTTGGCGGCGCCTCCGCTCGCGGTCGTTTCTGGACCGTCAGCGGCGGGAGCTGCGGGTCGGCGGGGCGCGCCCCTCACCCGGCGGCCGTCTGAGGGCTTTCTCGGGGCGCGAGCGGCGCGCTGTCAGCGAGCGCGCGGGGACACGGGGGGCGGCGGCGGGGCTGCGCCTCGGGGGCCCGCCGCGCGTCGGGCTGTGGAAGCGCCGGTCCTCCCGGGTCGGAGGGCGGAGATGCTCGCGTCTCCGCCCGGAGCGGCCCAGCGGACCGACGCGGGTCGTTGGGTTGGGGCCGGTGGTCTTCCCGCGCGCAGAAGGGGACGCGGTGCCGCCCCGGGGGCCGGCCGGGACTCGGGAGGGGGCCGGACGGGACCCCGGGCACCTGTGGGGCTGTGTGACCCAGAGCTGCGTCGGGTCAGCAGTTGGCCGGCTCCCGGCGGCGAGGGCGGACTTGGGGCAGGAGCTGCGTGAGATCCCGGGGCGCCTTGTACCCAGTTTGCGGCGCGCGTTTGTGCGGGCGGCCCCTCCGCGCTGCCTGTCACGCGTGTCCGCGCCGCTGCCGCACGCGACAGGCCCGAGGCGCGTGGCTTGGTGAAGGTCCGGGACGCGCGTCGACGCCGCGAGCACTGGGTGTTCTTCAGCTGCTGAACTCCGGCCTGGGTCGGGGCGTTCCCCGAGGTCGGATCGGAGCGCTCTTCGGGCACCGCCGGGCCCCTCTGCACGCGCGCTCGGCCCCCGCAGCCGCTGCGCTCGGCCCCCGCAGCCGCTGCGCTCCGCGTCTCGCAGGCCCCCGCGGCCGGACTGTGACCTGCCCGAGGGTGCGCGGCTCGGACGCTGTGGGGCGGACGAGACCCCAGGAAGGGCAGTCCCAGACCCTTTCCTGCCGAGAGCGTGACGCGGCGTTGGCGCGCGGCAGCCCCTGGGGCGGCTTAGATTTCGCGGGAGCCCGGAGCTGTGGCTCCCACCCGAGCCCTCGCCGTGCGGGCCTTTCCAGAGTGCGGCGTCGGTGCATGGCGCGGTCCCCTGGGAGTCGTCCTCGCGCGTCGGAGCGGCGATTTCGGAGGGTCCGCGGGAGCCACGCGCGGGCGCCCTGTGACGGGCTGTGAACCCAGGCTGGTAGACGAGGGCGGCCGCGTCGGTCTGCTGTGTCCGAGCGCCGCGGGCTCCCTGCACGGGCGCGTGCGGGGCCGCAGTAACCGTGGCGAGGACGTGCGCGTGCTCACGCCCGAGACCAGGACGTCCCCGTTCTCCGTCTTCAGGAAAGAAGACTGACCTTTCCTCGGCCTGCCCCAAGCCCTGGACAAGTAACTCCGGGCCGTTTGCCACTTGCGCCATCCCGGACGGCTCCCGTCAGTGTCCCCCGGAGAGCCGGCCAGCCTGCATCAGCCCCCGGGAGCCGGGCTCGACCGGCAGCCCGCCCGGACTGCTGCCTTGCGCGTGCCCGAGTCCCCGCGTGCCCGGCCGCTCAGGTCGCGGTCCCTAGAGCGCGGCTCACCCTGTACCGCCGTTGTACTCTGCAAGCCGCGGATGCAGCCCCTTGGTGCGGAGGCAGGAGGGTGATGGTCGTGACCTTGGACGGTTCTGTGTAACCGCCGCCCTGGAGAAAGAAGAACCCAGAGCGCAGAGAGGGTCACGGGGCTGTAAGGAGGACATGAAAGCACGTCTGATAGAGTTGAGTGGAAAGCATCCAACAGTCATTTTTACCGAGGCTTCTTCGGGCCGGAGAAGCCAGTGTGGGCTGAAGGGGACCTTGTGTGTCGTTTTTAGGAACACCCTCATGAGGTTCTTGACAGCTCCTCTGTTAGGTGAGGCTTTGGGGCTTGAACTCGTGACCCTGTGTCAAGACCTGAGCTGAGATCAAGAGTTAGAGGCCCAACCGACTGAGCCACCCAGGGCCCCTAGGTGGGGCTTTTGAAGGCTGGAACCCAGTTTGGTGCATTTCATTTTTAGTAATTTTATTAATTTTTTACTTTATTTACTAGGATGTAATACTCTTCAGTTATGACATGCTAAGTGATCCTTCAGTCTCTCCTTCTACTGAACCCAAGATCTACTTTTGACTTAGATAATGAGATTTGAAAACTCATTCCAAATGAGCTTCCCAGAAATTTTGTGTTTCCTTTGTACCCACTGGGAATTCCTCTCTCTCGCCTGTTAACCCTTCCTCCTCCCAGTCCCACCCATTTGATTCCAGTATACCTTTTTGGTTTTACTTACTTTTGGCCAAATATAGGGAGACTTTTCCTTTACCTCAGTAATTTTTTGATGCTGATCTGTTTGCCTAGACTGTTTTGGGCTCCAACTCTAATGGTCCCATAGCCTTTTTGAACCTTTTAGCACTTTTAAAAAAATATTTATTTGACAGAGGGAGACACAGCAAGAGAGGAAACACAAGCAGGGCGAGTGGGAGAGGGAGAAGTAGGCTTCTCGCCGAGCAGAGAGCCTGATGTGGGGCTCGATCCCAGGACCCTGGGATCATGACCTGAGCCGAAGGCAGAGGCTTAATGACTGAGCCACCCAGGCGCCCCATCACTTTCTGCATGTCTTATGATTCCTACCCTGTTTTATCTCTTTTGTTCCCTTGTTGTGAACACTTGCTGTGTATTACACTCTGTGATAGGTCCCAGACGTGCAAAGACAACATGATTCCTACCCTAAAAGGGTTAAGTCTAATAGGAGAACTAGATACGTAAATAGATCCTTGGAACACGGTGCCATGCAAGAAGCATAAACTGGGAGGGGCACCAGGTATGTGCTGGGGGAGGAGGGGGTCACAAGAGGGCTGCCGAAATGGAATTGCTGACTCACAGATGTTGCCATTTAAAATCTGGGGAGATACGGCTAAATTACCCTCTGTGCATGTAGAAATCATGATTTTTCTACTTAGTTTCACTGCCAATGATGATCAATCTTTAAAAGTTATCATTCTGATAATAAAAGGTTGGCATTTGTTATTTTAACCTGGTGTTCTTTAATCTGATTTGACTGTTTTGTAGCTTTGATAGCTTACACGTTAAAAAATTTGAAATAGTTGCAGTTTCATAGAAATTGCAAGTATAATGGAAGAACTTTCCCCCTGAAACATCTGAAAGTAACTTGCCAAACAAGATGCCACATTACCCTAAATATTGTCTGTTTCCAACGATAAGAGCGTTCACCCACATATCCAGCGTGCAGTTATCAGAATCAGGAAATCAGTACGTTATCATCAAATCCTCAGGTCCCACTGAAGTTTTGCCAGTGCTCCAGTAACACTTCTGGTGAAAGAGCGAACTTAAAATTTCACGTGGTATTTATTTTAGTCTCTTCGAGTGGGAAATAGTTCCTTAGTTTTCCTTCCATGATCTTTTTTTAAAGTGTGTAATTCATGTAGAGTTGTGTAGCCATCACCACAGTCTAATGATAGAACATTTCTGGCACACTCCAAAAATCCCGTTTCCACTCCCAGCCAACTGCTAACCTAGCTTCTGTGTCTGTAGACTTGTCTCTCCTGAGCATCTCACATACATGAAGTCAGTGTGAGAGCTTCTGCATCTGGTTTCTTTGGCAGAGCATAATGGTTTGAGGTTCATTCATGTTGTGGCCTGCATCACTACCTCGTTCTTAGTGCCAAGTAGCGTTCGTTTCTATGGGTTTACCGTGCTTGTCTACCCATTTACCGTTTGAAGGACATTTGCATTGTTGGCTGTCATGAATAGTGCTACCTTGTATGGTCTGGACCCTTGAATATTAGAGGCTAGTTTTTTTTAGAGTGTCTATTAATTTGGGCTAAGAAGTCTTCGAGACTTCTGTGAATTACTTCTTCCTTCGATTATTTATTTATTTATTTATTTAGAGGGTGAGTGGGGAGGGACAGAGGGAGAGGGAAAGAGAATCTGAAGCAGACTCGGTGCCCAGTGTGCTGTAAGTGCTTCTGGACTCTCTTAGTGAACAAAGCTGTGGAATATATACACACACACTTACAACTGTGTTTTTTGTATATGTACGTATTAAAAACAGTGAGGTCACACCTGTACCTCCTATTCTGGTCAAGTACCATAGGGTTTAGTTTAATTTTATGCCTTTTTAGGTATTTTAAAAACAGCTTTTTGGAGATGTAATTTACATACCACACAATTCACCCATTTAAAGTATATGGTTCACTGGTGTTTAGTATATTCACGGAGTTGTGCAAACATCACCACCGTTGACTTTTAGAACATTATGATTGTTTCAAAAAGAAATCCTGTTCCCCTTAGCCATCCCCTTCATTCCTCCACAGCCCTAGGCAACTAGTATTCTACTTTCTGTCTTTGTAAATTTGTCTTTTGTGGACAGTGGTGCCCCGTGTGGAGCGTGATATTAGGCTCGATCTCATCACCTGGAGATCATAACCAGAGCCCAGATCATGAGTTGGGTGCTTAACTGACTGAGCCACCCAGGCTCCCCTTTCCTTTGGTTATTATTAAGTAATTTTTAGGGAGGTGCTTGGAAATCATGTATCTATTCTGTTCTTTTATAAAAGAGCATGTGGGACGGGAGGTACTGTGGATTGTGCTTGGAAAATTCAATGCCACAGGTTGTAATCTATTACTATCATTTATTTGATGCCCGAATTGTCCCATGTTTGGGTTGTGGGAATTTGCTTAAGTTGGGTTATTTGTCTTGTTGGGTTATTTGTCTTTTAATTATTGAGTTACAAGAATTCTTTTCTTTATATATTTTGGGTATTAGTTCCTTATTAAAAATGTGATTTGCACATGTTTCCTCCCATTTTGTGGGTTCTCTTTTTGCTTTTTTGGTGATTTCCTTTGAAGCATAAAAGTATTTTATTGGAGGTGCCTGGGTGGCTCAGTTGGTTAAGTGTCTTCCTTCAATTCAGGTCACGATCCCCGGGGTCCTGGGATTGAGCCCCGCATCTGGCTCCTGCTTTTCCCTCTCCTTCTGCTGCTCCCCCTGCTCGTGTGTGTGCGCTCTCGCTTTCTCTGCACTCTCTTTCAAATAAATAAAAATATTAAGTTTTATTTTCGTGAGCTCCAGTTCTCTTTTTCTTTAGTTGTTAGTGATTTTTGGTGTCTTATCTAAGGGTCCATTGCCAAATCCAAGGTCATGAAGATTTATGTCTGTTTCCTTTTAAGAGATTGAAAGTTTAAGCTCTTACGTAGAGAGGTGTATGATCCATTTTGAGTTATTTTTTTGTGTGTGATGGAAGGAAAGTGTCTAACTTCATTCTTTGGCATGTTGATATATAGTTGTCCTAGCATAATTTGTTGGAAATTACTCTGTTCTCTCTCTCTCTTTTTTTCTTTTTAAAGATTTATTTATTTGAGGGCGAGTGGGAGGTTGGGAGGGGCAGAGGGAGAGGGAGAGAGAGTCTCCAGCAGACCCTATGTGCAGTGTGGAGTGTGATGGACTTGATCTCAAGGCCCCAAGATCATGACCTGAGCCGGAACGAAGTCAGATGCCCAACTGACTGTGCCACCTAGGTTCCCTGAAAATTACTCTGTTCTTGGTGTTTTACCTGCTCAGCTAAATATTTAGATGTCAGTGTAGGTACTCAAGTTTTTCTGTTTTCTTTTTTTTTTTTTCAGGAAAAAATTCAAAAATGTTTCAGATTCCTGTGGAAAATCTTGACAACATCAGGAAGGTACGAAAAAAGGTGAAAGGCATTCTTGTGGATATCGGGCTTGACAGCTGCAAGGAGTTGCTGAAGGTAAGAATGCATGTGTGAGATGAAGAGAAGACAGTGACACTGGAGACGCAGGGTTGGCTTTGTGGAGGTGAGATCCGAACTGGGAGCGCTCCTCGAGGTGGAAATTGCTAATATTTCAAATGACTGCATGAGAGCATAATTAGTTCTTTATGTCTTTCTGACTTAAAGTGAGCTATTTGAAGCTGTTCAAATTTTTAAAGTTACTTTTACATGGGTCTTTTTATAGTTCTTAGTTATCAAATATATTTGTTTTTGATCTTCAAAGGGAATGTGTTGTATTATTTGTTATTTTGGCAAAAGAAGACCCTAACGTGACCCCTGGTTGTTGGGAGTAATTACCCAGTGGGGGTGCACATGTGGTGTGACTTGAGAACTTAATATGTGCAGTTTTAACAAAAGTTTAACAATTAAGGTCACACTCACATACTCTGATAAGTTGTGTTCTCATAATTTTTTTCCCTTCTTAGAACTTGAGGGTATGTGGCTGGCATCTGTAGTAGAGACAGAAATTGCTGAGTGAGGCTGGGTGTGCGTTTTTTAAGCCATTGGTGATCCTGTACGTGTTTAGGACCACGTCTGCTTTGAAATATTTTTAGACTCGTGAACAGTTCAGTTCGTAGTATTGGTCTGGGAAGGGTTCAGTTTCTTAATTTTCAAATATCAGACTTTGATCCAGATTGATTTTATTTATAAAAAGGTGGTCTAATACTGAAAGACTAGTAATTACCACGGTCCTCATTAATGGCCAGGATTGATGTTTGCGCTCAAGTAGACAAGTACCAAGTTCTTGCTGAAGGACTCCAGTGATTCTCTGTTCAGACACTGCCACCTCAGAGAGCTCTTCCTTCTGAAATGCTGCCTTCTCTGTTCTCTGTTGTCTTAACTACTCTGTTTTGCTTCAAAGCTCTCATAGTACCTGACATTATTTATTTTGTCTCCAAACCGCCCCCTGCCCCCCCCGTATGTAAGAAGACAAGGACCTCCTGGTTTTGTTAATCCACTGTATTACTGTGATCAGAGCTGTGGTCTGGCACATAGATATGTAATATATATATGTATATCAGTATTTTAATATTTGCATTAAAAATACATATTTTTAACAGGTAAGTTTTGAATGAATGAACAAAAGTAGAAACCCAAGTAGAGCAGTACTTTTAATAACAGACTATTACTGAAAGTCCTTGCAAATAAAAGGGTGGGGAGATCCCAGAGTGGAAGCTCTTGGCAGGCACTCCTGCTCAGGAACAGTCTTGAAGCAAAAGAGCCGCAGAGTTCATTGCATCTCTGCTTCGAAGTCATAGTTGATGCATGAGAATGAAAGCAAGGTAGTTATTTGGAGATAAGATTGGGCAGGTAGGTATAGACATAGTCCATTAGTAATAGCTAACTCTTGGAAAGTTCCTGGATCCAGTTCTGACACGACAAGAGGTGTTCTGGTTTCCCATGTGTGGGAGTTCTCCAAAGTGGGGAATAAAATTCTTATGGAGCTTTCCTTACATAGTCAAGGTTGATTAAGTCATTCACTGATCCAGCCTGCAGTCCCCCTCACCTCCCCAGGACTTGGGGTAGGCCTGAAGGTTCCAGCCCTCTCATCACATGATTGATCCTCCTGGGAACCACTTGCGCTCTTGGGTGGGATCTGCAAGTCACCGTCATGAATAACAAGACCTTCACTGCACCTTTATGGTTTTGAAGCATTTTCAGAAACTGTGAATGAAGACCAGATTTATCTGAGAAATACATATTTGGTCGTCTGAATGACCTTATAAATAAATAATTTCTTACAACTTTCTTATAAATCATTTTCTTACAGTAAGTACATGTATTTAAGTAGTATTTGTAGAGAATGTATATAAATAAGCCAAGAACCCAAGTGTATGTATGTAGGTACAGGGTATTTCAAGTGGTAATATATGGGAACCCCCTGCAGTGATGCCCGCCGTGTGGTACATGCTCCAAAAATGAACGCTGAAGGTGTAGTGCTGCCTTCAGTAGACAGACGGAGAGTGTCCGTGGGCCACGGGGGACGGGGGGGATAAAGAGATGCGTTTTATCTTAATCTTGGCTTATAGCTAATTATGTGCTCTTAGACAAATCCGTTAATCTGGGCCTGTGTCCTTATTACAGTGAAGGAATATAGCGAATTAGGGTACTAGGATCCTTTCCTCTGTTAGAGAGATGACAGTTTAGCAGGAGCTGAGAGACAAACTTAATAATAGTGAGAAATGGGGAAAGATCACTTCTAGCTGGGGAAGCTAGAGTAGCCTTTTTTTTTTTTTTTTAAAGGTTTTTAAAAAAATTTATACATTTGAGAGAGATACAGAGACAGAGCTCAAGCAGGGGGAGAGGCAGAGGGAGACAGAGAAGCAGACTCCCCTCTGAACTGGGGAACACCCCCCCCCCCCCCCCCCCCCCCCCCCCCCCCCCCCCCGCCCAGCAGTGGGATTGAGATAACACGGGGCTCGATCTCAGGACTTAGAGATCATGACCTGGGCTGAAGGCAGACACCCAACCATCAGAGGCACCCAGGCACCCCTAGAGTAGCCTTTACGGAGATGAGATTTGAACCGTGTTTTGTTTGTTTTTAAAGAATGGGTAGGTTTGCCCAGTAGAAAGAATTAGAAAGGGTATTCCAGGAACATGGAATTTAAAACCACAACCCAGTTGGTTAACCCTCATCAAACCAGGCTGAGTGATTTCAGGAACACATTACCCTTTAACAAGATCAACCAGTCGTTCTTATTTTATTCTGTTTGCTGTAACATTTCTCACTTTGTGTGTGTGTGTGTGATACTTCTAGTGTGTGTTTTCGAAGACTAAGGATGGTCTCTTACATTACCTCAGAATGGTTATCAGCTGAAGTGAGCTGGTATTTTTATCTCGTCTGATCATTTATAGCACTCCTCTCTGTCTGGGAGGGACCCAGTCTAGGATCAGCCATGGCCTTCCGTTGTCATCTCTCTTTTATCTCCTTGAAGGTGAATTGACTTTTTAAATGGAATTCTGTCCCGAAATTCGTTTTGTTTTATTCTTAGATAAAACATTAGTAATAACTGAAAGTTTTCATCCTGGTAGCCTTCGTTTTTGACGCTGTATAGAGCAATATTCCTCACTAACTTCCGCTTCCTTAGCCTAAGAATGTGTCTGTTCATCTGAATTTGCTCAAGATTTGTTTACTTTGACTGTGCTGACACAGATACGTACATACTTCTCAACAGAAAATTGAGAGATTTGAACGGTTTACAACTATTAAGTTAGTTTAATTATTGGGTTAAATGTTACTGATTCTTTTGGGGGAAAAGTTTTGTTTTTTTAAAATCTGTAGTTCTGTATTTTATAAAATTGTTTAAAATTCAAGCAATGGTTAAGTTCAGTTTAGAAAAATTAGAAAATATATGCAGAAACATAGATACAAGAAGACTTATTTGTAAGCCGTTACCCAAAATACCCATTGTTAACATTGTTGTATGTCTTTCTAGATTTTTTTAAGTGGGAGATTAAACTGAGATACTCTACTAGCCTTGTTTTGTCTTTTCACTGAATTCTTTCCCACGTCAGATGCATTCTTAATCCCCCATAGTACTTAGAATTTCTTGGTTTCAAGCAATAGAAACCGACACTAGACCAACTTAAGCAAAAGGGAATTTACTGGAAACCCGAGGCCTCCAGAGTCTTCCCTGCAGACTGAAGGAGCTGAGGGGACGTCTGTCCGTAGTCCTTTCCACTTCCTTACCCAGCGCGTCAGATTTCAGTGAGGTGTCACTCTGCCTTCTCCAATTTCCAAAGTGTCCAGGACTCTACCTGTCCCCAGAGTTTAGACCTCAAATTTTAGGCTATAGAGTTCTTGTTGAAAGCCTGTCTGAGAAAAAATTGAACTTTTGGGAGACAGACTCTTCTAAGAACCTTATCTTCTTTTCTAAAAGTAGATGCAAACCCTGCTTACTCATTAGAGTCTCTTGATTTTTTTGAAAGCTAACATTTGATCAGTTAAAGTAGGGGCTGGCTATGTAATTTGTACGGCACTGTGCACAGTGAAAACGTGGACCTGGGCTGGCCCACAGGACTGTTGTCCCGTCCCAACCCACATCATGTGGGGAGTCCCAAGGGACAGCACCTCTGTGCTGGGGTGCTCGTGGTACCTGTGGTACCTGTGCTGTGCTCGTGGTACCTGTGGTGGGTGCTCGTGGTACCTGGATCTGGGCAGGGTTCGAGGTCCCCACCTTGACCTCTTCTTTCCCTCAGTCTGTGCTAGGCTTCCAGTGGAGGTGGTGATGGAATGTGACAGCTTGGTTACTGTGGCAAGCGGTGCAGGGTGAGGGAGTGGTTTCAGGATGAGGGCGGGGAGAGAGAGGTTGGGGTGAATGGGAGATGGAGAGCCGGGGCAGAATCTTTCCCAGGAACACTGGAGATAGGACCATGTGTGAGCTGAAGCTCCAGGCTCCTGACCTGTGGCCCACTGTCCTGTCAGACTACTTTTATAAAATACAAATTCAAACTTAAAATTATTAACAATTTCAATATGGTGACAACGGAGCATTAAATCCCAGCACTGGCCTTTCTGAGCCCAGGGCTCTATGTGGCTTCACTAGTCCGGTGCCCCTGGAGAAGCCCTCACTGGTGTTTTCTAAGACGTTCTCAGGCTGTTTTGTTTTAAGATTTTATTTATTTGAGAGGGTGTGTGCGGATGTGCGTGCGTATGGGAGAAAGCTGGTTTGAGAGAGAGGACCAGCGAGTGGGGGAGGGGCAGAGGGAGAGGGATAAGTGGACCCCCGAACCCACACCCCAGGGATCATGAGCGCAGCCAAAGGCAGATGATAAACCGACTAAGCCAGCCAGGCGCCCCTAGATTTTTAAAAATATTTAATAATTTAGTTCATTTAACCTCATATATTAAAAATATTTCAGTATGCAGTCAATATAAAGTAAGTAATGAAATATTTTGCCCTCTTTTTTCTCTTAAATGTTCCAAGCATATTGAAAGATATTTTTTATTATGATAA